ATATATGTATATATATGTTTAAAACTTTTATTTTATGAGTATTGTAGGATGTTATACATATTTGTCTTTAAGCCTGAATCTGCTTTCCTGTACAGCTTGGATATTGTTCAAACTTTATTTCGCTCTGACAATAGGAATTAGGTCTGCTCTGGCTTAACTCTAGTAACCCTTCAGCTTTCTTATGGTAGCCCTTTCTGCCAACTCCTGTACCCCTCAAGACCTTTTATTCCATTTTAAAAAGTCACAGTGTTAAATGTTTCCAACCCTTTCTTTTGTTCTTGTATACCAGGACCTCTCATCTTCTTCACCAACCAGCCTAATCACTACATGTGTTGTCACTTTGAAAACAGTATTCCAGGCATGTTCTAACACATACCTGTGGGAGTTTATTGTGTACTTGACCTGCCCATGATGTAGAAGTATGTCCCCTATAGAGAATCTGTGTCTTATAGGATAGCCAAAAATGAGGACAAAAGTAGAAAAGCTGACAGAGAAAGCAAGATAAAGTATGTCAGAGAATTCATAAAACCCTCTGGGCCCTTTGTAACTTGCTTGCAGCTCTTACCAGCTACCTGGTTTTCCTGGAGCTGACAGTAGATCAGAGGCAGTGAATTAGAAGTAAGACAAAATAAACTGATAACCTAAGAAGCGACGCTGACAGAAGATGGGAGAAAATTGCAGAAACTAAAAAGGAGTAAAACTGTCAGGCACTGTTTAGTTTAGGCTTGGACACAGTTGTATGTATCTGAATAATGCCTGAAGTTTCACTGTATTAAAACAAACTAGACACAGACCAGGCACCCTATTCTTTACTGTATTTGCACAATTAATTGTTTAAACTCGTGTGGAATTTGATATTGTTAGATTTTTTTTTTCCTTTTGGTTTTAATGGGTTGGATCAGTTTATTGAAGTCTTTAAGTCTTGGTATTATCACCCAAATAATGTTTTTTTTGTTTTGTTTTTTTACCTGCAGTACTGGGAATCAAACTCAGGATTTTGCACTTGCCAGGCAGGTGCGGCACCACTGAGCTACATTCCTGACCCTCACCCAAATAATCTTAGCTTTTTCTTATATCAAGATTTAATAAGCATGCATCCTATCTCTAGATTATTTTTAGAACAAGAGAAAAGCCTAGTAGTATGTCACAAATTACCAGTTCACTGGTAACTTTTGAATACAGTTGTTTGGATATTTCCCTGAATTTTTGTTACTGTCCTCCTGATCCAAGACCAAATTTAACTTTTGGTTTAGGGACATTTTAATCTTTTTTTAAAATAGACAGTATTAAAAAGTATATTTTGAAGGTCTTAAGCATCATGGCATTAGTAGACTAACTCTAGTGTTGGGTCATGGAAAACCTCTAAAAGTGAAAACAGCTTTCAGACCCTTATTTGGAGAGCTCTTAAGATATTTGTTTGGTCCCAGCTCCTAAATCCTTCCAAATTGAGTATGATTATGTGTGTTTTTAAAAATAAAATGAGCCTGAAAGACAGCATCTTAGCCCTGTGATCTTTTTACATCTGAATATTTCCTGAGCTTATGGTGACCTTCATTTTTCTCTCAGATAAAAATTTTAAGCCAGTTATGGTGGCATAGATCTGTAATCATAGTACTGTGGGAGACAAAAGCAGGAGGATCACAGGTTCAAGCCCACCCTGGGCAACTTGGCAACCTAGTAAGGCTGTCTCAAAATAAAAAGGTCTTAGATATAGCACAATGTGAAGGCTCTGAATTCAATCTCCAGTACAAAAAAAAAAAAGTAAGTTTTGAACTGTAAGTTCTTAGAGGTAGTTTCTGTGGTTTTTCTTTGCATATGTACTTATAAGGAAGAAAGATACTTTTTTTTTTATTAGTACCCGGGGATCAAACTCAAGATCCTGCCTTGCAAGCACAAGGACCCAAGTTCAATACCCGGCACCAAAAAAAAAAAAAAGAAAGAAAAAGAAAAGAAAGAAAAGAAAGATATTTTTTAGGTTGCTTCATTAGAAGAAAGAAGTTCAGTTAAATTTAAAGAGATTGGAGATATTACCAGAGTTTGGTCATGAAACAAATTAGACAGTGGGAACTTTGCTTTACCTATTGAGAACATTTAGTGAAATAGAACAATAGTGAATATTGGTGCATACCACTGAGAATTGGTTCATTTTAAATGAATAGATATTGCTGTCAGCGATTTTCTACCTTTATGGTAATATTTGTATACTTAGAATACTTTAAAAAGTTTATTAAAGAACTTTGTTTAAAAGTTCTGATCCTAGTTAGTGCTATTTCTGTTTAGGTTGGGCAAGGGCCAAATTATCGTTTATAAGTTGCAAGGTTTACTAAAATTTGGACCTTTATAATTCTTTGGATCTTCAGGCTTTTGTTATACGTTTTTTTCCTTCCTATTTATTAATAAGATCAAAATTCTATTTGCTTAGTTTTAATTGACAGTGACAATTGTATTCTTTTTTTTTTTTTATACCGGGTATTGAATTCAGGACCTGGTGCTTGCCAGGCAGGCACTGGCACCACTGAACTAAATTCCTGGCCCAGTAATTGTATTCTTGCTATGCAGTCCTATAAAATTTATATTTTATTAAAGCTGTGTAAGCTGGTGTTTAAACATTATAACTCGAGTCTTATTTTCATATAGAACATAAGTGCTTGATTTATATTTTTCTATATCTAGTAAGATTTTAGCATAGAAAATTTCTGCAATTACTACTGACTTGTTAAAATTTATGCTCTTCGAAATTTCAGTATCAGGTTGGACAGCTTTACTCTGTTGCAGAGGCTAGTAAGAATGAAACTGGTGGCGGTGAAGGAATTGAAGTCTTAAAGAATGAACCTTATGAGAAGGATGGAGAAAAGGGACAATTTACACACAAAATTTATCACCTAAAGAGGTAAGTGTTCATATTTGATGCATAGTCATTATATTAAATAATTATACCATGACTAATGAGCTTATTAAGCATGTAATGCCTATCTTACTAGTAGGCAAGCTGAGGTACATTGTTTATTTCAGTGTAGTATGTGTGTAATTTGTTGTGAGGACATCCCCCCCATTGGTTATTTTTATAGTAGAAAAGAAATGTATCTGTGTATAACAAAAGTTCAAGCACCAGAGAAGTCTGTAAAATAAAAACTTGGTCTTCATCACTTGCTTTCAGACATCCATAACCAGAGAAACACTAGAAATAGTTTAGAGGGATTATCCTTCTGGATCATTTTTTGTATGTGTACAAAGATTTTGAAAAATAAGCATGTAGAGAGATTTGTCACTTGTGTCATTTTGAATGTTCTACAAATGGAATCATACTGTACAGTTTGCTTTTTTTTTGTGCAAGGATATATCATGACTATCCTCTATGTTTTTATTTAGTATCTGTGTGATTCTTTTTTTTTTGTTTGTTTTTCTTCATTGAGTTTGTTGGTACTTTTTAAGTATACAGTATAGTTACATTCATCACTGGGATCTTTGTACCTGTACATGACAGGTCTTGGTTCTCATTTTTTTCCCCATACCCCTGCCCTCCCTTCACTCCCTCCACCCTCCCCTATGTACAAAGACTTTACTTCCATTTTTTTTTCCTTTTCTCATATTTTTTCTTTTCCCTTATTTCCTTTCCCTGACCCTTCCCACTTTCCCTACACCTTTAACCCCTTTCTTCCTATTTCACATTGTCAGTTATACAATTTGGATTTTATTTACACTTTTAGTTTCTTACACCAGAGAAACGATTCAATATTTACACATGTGTGTCCTATTTATTTCACTTAAGAGTATGGCCTCAATATGCATCCATTTTCCTATGATTGACTCTAGTTTCTTACGTGATTTTTTTTTTTTTTTTTAAGGCCGAGCAAATTTTTAGTTTGGACATAGCATAGTTTACCTAAGCATTGTATAAATGGGAAGCTTTCTTAAGGTTTTTAAGTATTTTCTAGTGTCTTTTATAGTACTATTTCTCTGAACTTTGTTGTACTTATGTCTTTTTGCCTTAGGTAACTATTTTTCTAGGAGAATGTAATAGGATTGGTGGGAGGACATGTGAACTTTAAATTTTGATATTACTGGCAAATTGCCCTCCAAGAATTTGATAGTGCTCATTTTTTTATATTTTTCTTTTTAATTTTTGCTTACTTTCATAGGCAGAAAATTCCATCTTAATTAAATTTATATTTCTTAGTGCTGTTGCATGTCTTTTAGTGCTAATTGAACATTTGACTTTCTCTGTGACTTTACTATCAAATTCATAAGCTTTTTTTTTTTTTTTTGAGTTTTTGGGCATATTTCTGAATTTCTTTGCCATTAATGTTAAAAGAGAAAATGCAGGGTACCAATATTTGTCTAGGGTCGATGACCAGCAGTTGTTTTTAAGAGTATACTTTGTCATCATTAGTCCGCTAGTTTATTAAGGCTTAGAAAGAATCTCTGTTATCATTTTATTTATTATTAAAATAAATCATAGTCACATGAATAGAGTGTCTTAAAGTTGTAGATCAGTTATGATTAGTATTTTTTGTATTTTTTTGGTTTTACTATATTGCTCATAAGACCTTAAATTTTATCATTGTTTTTCTGCATTTCCTTGCTTATCTTTTGTTTTGCCTGAGAAGTACAAGTGTCGATTGAGATCAAATTTGACCTTTTAAGTGGCATAGTATCTATAATATTGACAGAATTGAATTTAATTTTGTATACTCAGCTTGCTTTTTCTAAAGTTTACCCATTAATTGAATTCTGCTGACACAAAGGTTCTTTGTATTTAAACATTGACCTCTTTCTGGGACTTATAAAATAAACCAAAAAATTTAATATGTAAGATTTTCTACTGCCATGATATCCTTTTTAGATAATATTCCGTATATGAATAAACTTTGAACAGATTCATGACATTCTCTGATTGACATCTAAGAATTGGAATATTGGGGTAATGTTTCATATTACATGGACAGATTATAAGTAATACATATATACATAATGTGTTTCATGCTTTGAAAAACCTTATAGCTTTTTAAAAATCTAATAAAGCTGGGTGCAGTGGTGTGCACCTATAAGTAATCTCAGCTACTTAAAGAGGTAGAGGCAGGAGAATCATAAACTAATCAGAAAAAATTCTAGAAAGAGGTTCACTAAATGTTACAAATGTTTATCACTTGGTGGTGGGAGAAGGATCAGTTTAAAACTTTTACTTCAAAATTAAGAGTAAAAATTGTTATTCTGTATTTCCTTTTTATAAGAAAAACTTCATTATAAGTTTTGAAACATCTGACTTAGGAACACTGCAGCCCACAAGTAATGAAATTCTTCAGTTGAAAAAGACTATAACTATGGTTAGTCCAAGTGGTAGTTTTACTCAAGAGCTTATTTGCGCTAGAGGTTCTAAATTCTACTTTTAGGCTTTTAGTGGGTTAAATAAAGGAATATCTTTTTTGTTTTGTTTTGTTTTGAGGTAGGTTCTTGCTATGTAGCCCAGCCTGGCCTCGAATTCACTATGTAGCCCAGGCTGATCTGGAACTCACAGTGATCCTCCTGCCTCATTCACTCTCCAGAGTGCTGGGATTATAGGTGTGTGCCACCACGCCCAGTAATAAGGGAAAATTTTACTTTTCTGGAGTCTGGCTTTCCTGAACACATGGGCTCTGGAATAGCTTCTTTATTCTTAATGGAACTGAAAGCATTCCGCAGGAGCCTTTGGTTTACCTCTTCTATGTACTCTTTCATTTCTCACTGCAGCCTTGAGAAATAGGCAGTATGTACAGTGTACACGAGAATATACTAAGGTACAGATTTACTCAAGGTCACACACTTAATAGCAGAGTGGTGGCAGAGATATGATTACTGTGACTTCTCCCTCTCTGTTAGTCGTAAAGGGCAGCTCCACTTGTCTAATAAGCAGCACGTAGAACCCAGTGAGCACAGTCTCATGAGAAGGAACAGAGGAGAACTGATTGGATGGTGATGGCTATTTGATCCCCTGCCCCCATAAAAAGAAAAGATGGCACTGTAGACAGAAGCATGAGACAGGAGAGGGAAAAAGTGAAAAGTGTGGCAGTAATGGGTCTCAGGTAGTGTGACAGATAGTAATGAGAAACAACCAAAAACCTGTCCACTAATTACAGCAATACACAGATCAGTTGTTGATCTAGTCTGGGAAGGAGAAGGCAGTTGGAGTAAGGGCAAGCAAATAGGTACACTCAGATTCATCAGTGTTAAGTATGTAAAGCTCGCGAGCCACAGTATAACTGTACTGTTGAAGGGAAAGAGTCATTAGTGCTAAGGCCCAAGTTAGCTATAGGGAAGACCTTGTTTCTAGGGCAGTCCTGGCTGTGCAGTTCTTTCATACTTCAGTGTTTTCAGAGATAGATAACAAGTTAGCTTGCTGAAGATCTGCCCACTGTCTCTGGAGAATTTGTATTGCTGTCTCTGAGAAAGTTAAATCTGTGTCCTTAATGTGTATTTCCTTTTCTAGCATTACTAAATTAGTTAATCCAAGCTGTGCGCACTGCCCTTGGAAATGTCGGAATTGTGAACTTGGGTAACACCTCATTTTACATTTGAGATGTTTGAAATTCAGAGATTAACTTTATCCAGTGGTAAACAGTCTTTGTAGTCCCACACCAGTGTACTTTCCCATTTCTGCAGAAGTGCTTCTTGGTAAGGTGTGTACACTTAATCTCAACCAGAAGGTTGAGAATCAATCTTGGGAAGGTTTTAGCAAACCCCCCATTTCAGTGACTGTTTGTAGGGAATGTTTCAAGTGTCTGTTTTCCTCAAATCTTTTTTTTTTTTTTTTTTTTTTTTTTTTTT